GTCAGTTCTGTGCATGACTTGGATATTCCAACGATTTTGATTAATGATAATCAGTTTCATATCCTCTTTATCTGCATATCGTATAATTGGTCCTCTATTAGCTCCAAGTGCAATTATTATCTTGAATTTTTTTTTTTCTAACTCGTTGCTTTCTTTAGATGAATCTCACCATTTAAATCTATCATTTGGAAATAGATGCTCCAAGATGTCACAGTCACTTTCTTATATAGCATCTCCACAACTACATTTATGCTAATCATAGTTGAATCTTAAATTTTCTCTTCCACAATTTTCTTTTCTGAACTGAGGTTGAAGTGATGATTTGTTTATCTGTGTTGGCTTTAAATGTTTTGCACTTTTGAAAACAAGGCCCTTTTTTCATGCAAGTAGGTTAACGCAAAGGCCAAGGTCTCTGTTAAGCTTGTGGCAGAAGCTGGGATTGGCACTGTAGCTTCTGGAGTAGCTAAAGCAAATGCTGACATAATACAGGTGCTACCTTATGATCTTGCGTTAATAGAATTTCTGTAATGCATATTTTATGATTTTCTGCTAATTTTATTTCTATAGCAGTAGCAAAGTCCTTCAGTCGCTTGCAATTTTCCTCAGTGATGTCCATACATGAGTAGGCCTAATTTTGCCACCTCAAAATTATTGCTTTCATATTCTAAAACTTGACGTGACCAAAATCAAACAATTAAGAAAAAGACAATATGGAATTATTCTTGTATTTGATTGATTGAGAGAAATGTCATTCATTTTAACTCTTACTACCTTAAGGCACCACATCCTTCAGCCAAAATCCATATGTTTAATGCACTTGTCTGACCTTGCTAATGTTACCACATCCTTCAGCCAAAATCCATATGTTTAATGCTCTTGTCTGACCTTGCTAATGTTGACTGACCTTGCTAATGTGCTAATGTTGACCGTGAGGATATCTCGCCTCGAGATATTTCTAGGTAATATTGAGAGAAAGAATAGAACAAAGTTTTGGGTGTCCTTAATATTTTATTTCATGCATGCTTTATTAATATTAAAAAGCATAGAAACTTTAAAGGTGCTAAAGAATGTTTTTTTTTTTTCTTTTCTTTCTTTGGTGAAAAAGGAATAACTTATTTTACCATTCATGTTATTCAGTTTTTCCAATCATTTATTTTCTCTTTTAATAGATCTGTTCTTTTGGACATCAAAAATTTTGAAAAATAAATAACCTTGATGTGGATCAAAATCTTTCCACATGTTCAATGGAGAAATGGCCACCCCAAAAAAATTCTATTAGCAGTAAAATCTCCGTATGACAAATATGCCATATTTCTGCATCACACTATTGTTTTATTGAAAGCACATCAGATTATTTTTTTTAACAAATATAATAAGATATACACTTAAATGACTTAAAAATTAATTAAAAAAAAATTGCAATGTAAATGCTTAAATAGAAAGCGAGAAGAAGAATCAATTACATAATAACTAGTTTAATAAAGAATACCTGAAAATTGAGAATGATTCATGAGATTGAGCGTTACAACATAGGGCAGAGGAATTGTTTAAATGAGAATGTAGAAGCTAGGAGCAAAAATTGCATTGCAAGAGGCTAAGATTGTATTATGTGAGTGGGAATGTCCGAGAGGGATGAAAAGGAAGGAAAACCAAGAGATTGAGTGGCACAAGCTATGTTTTGATTGTGATCATCGCATGGTGAACCAACAACAACTTTATTAGAAATATAATGTACTCAATGTGCTAAATGCTTAAATTGAATGGCATTGTTTTAAATAGTTTCTGGTAACACCAACGTACCGTAGGGCATAGTGAACTAACAAAACCTTTATTAGAAATAATGGTTGGATTGATAGTACTCACCATTAATGTACTAAAAATTGGAAATGTTTAAGTTATGGTAAAAATAAATTAAATATTTCAATTATATGTAACAATAAATTATTTAAAAGCATGATAAATATGAAATACTTTTAAATAGTAAGATTGAATTATAATAAAATAACAATAATATTTTGCACTATTGATTTTAAGCATTCTGCTGGAGAAAAGTTGATAGAACAAAATGATGTTGGAGTTAACCCCACAATAGAAATAAAATTATTATCGCTGAGATTCAAAGGTTACATTGAAGACTCTTCAAAACAAGGAATAAATGATGAATAAACACAAATAAACCCCTAGGGTGAAGATGAAGGTGGTGGGTGGTGATGGGACAGCAAGTAGGGGTGCGGGTTGGGGGTTGTGGCTGCATGTTAAAAGGCGGAGGAAGTTATGGCCCGACTGTGGATGGCAACAGGAGAGATAAGAGGAGCTGTGGTTGGTTAATAGTAGAGGAATGTTGGTTGGGTTGTGGATGGCAATGGGAGGGAGGATTGTAGGTGTGTGTATAGCAAGTCTGTAGCGGGAAGGAGCTGTAGCAGATTCAATAAGATGGTTGTGGCCGTGAAGGTCGGCTGGTAGGTAGGAGCAGGTTGCGGCAGAATCTGGGATGGCAAGGAGGAATAGGCGAATGGAGGGTAGATGGCTATAGAAAAATGGCACAAGGGACTGTTTTTTGGTGGTTGTAGAAATTATGATGGTGGCGGCAACGGAGAAAAGGTATTGGGGATGAGAAAATGGAGGATAATCATCACCTTGGAGTGAGATACAGCTGAAACCGCGCTCGTCCTTGGATATAGCCCTAGAAGGGAAAAGAGTGACGTCAACGACTGTCCAAACATAAATCTTAGCAAAAACTAATTCTAAAACAGATAAAACAACATATAAATAGGAGTAGATAAATAAGGGGGGACCCCGTCACTTGGTGGACAAATCTAGCCCCTGGACTAAAAGTTGTCGACCCCCTGTCGGCCGTTTTAACAGTAGTTTGAAAAAGTGATGATTTTGTGATTTTGAAAATAATTTAAATATGAATATAACTTTTTTGATTTTTAAAAGTAACATTTTTAATTTTAAAATAGGTGAGACCAAACGGGTCTCACGTTTTAAATAGTTTAGATGACTAAACACGATACCACAAGTAATACACTTATCCCGAAGAATAAACATATCACCTCTAGTAGACTCAATCACCTAAACTAAAGAATTTGTGACATCTGTTTGGTTTGTAAATTTTTTTATATGATGCCAATAAGTTCCCTTACCTAATACGATGATTAGATAGAGTTTATTTTACTTGGGTTCCAAGTTCTATATAGAGGCAAACTCCTATAGTTAATTACATCTTAAATGACCCGGGTCACTTTGGAAAACTCTCGATTAAAATCAGTGGTTTTACTTTCCAGATTTCAAAGTTTAGGTTTCCAAGATTGGACAAACGAACCAAATAGGAACAATTATTTTAAGGAATCTAAATGAGCGAAGAGTAGGAGATATCACAGATCTGGGGAGAACCCCGGTGACCTCCCAATTATCCTACTGTTTGACTTTATATCTTTGAAATGATATTATTTAATGTTTAATCCTGCAATTTATTTATAATTTAGGACTTATGTTCGCACGATATCTGGTCATGTAAATAGCTTAAAAAGATAGGAAGATTTACACTGTACCTTATAGTATCCTCGGAATCCTAAAGTGTTAGGACTTATAATTGCACAATAGGGTTGTGCAAAAACCTAAAAGTGATATGTGAGGGTTTACGCTGCGCTAAGCAAACCACTTCGAACTCCTATGAGTTATTTAAACTACGGGAAGTGATTGGTGATGTGAAAGTATTTTGATGTTGATAATCCACCTTAAAGTTGTTCCTCATCGTGCTGCCCACAGTGTACGCTCCAAAGCTCATTGTCGTAGCATCTTCAGGTTTAGTTTTAGTTTTGAAAATGCACCTAACCACTAGGTTATCCTATAATAAGGTATAGTACAAAAAAAAAACTAAGCAATAAAACATGCAGTGTGAAGAAAAAGCACAATGTACTGTACAGTAAAGAAGAAGGACAATATAACATGCTTATAAAAGAAAATATTGTAATGTAAATCAAACTTATATACCTGGGAGGCTCGTTACTTCTTTAAGTTTAAATAGTATGCGCTGTGTAAACAGGAGAAAACACGACCTAAAAAAACTCGAGTAAACCGATAAATCGTAGGAAAAAGACAAACAAATAAAACAAAATACAATATCACATATAAAGGACCAAGAATAGGAGATTTATATGTGATATTGGGAATGTCCTCAATTGCCAGGAGGATCTGAGTGTAAGATTCAAGCTCAAATCCCTGTGCATTGAGTTTCATTTTTGGTCAAGTTAAGGCAAGAATTTCATTATTTAATTTAATTAAATCAGTCATTAACCACAACCTAGTGCACCATCGTGTCTAGTGTCCTAATTAACTTATGAACTGGGGTCAGATGTATGGTTTTTTAGGTTCTTTTGAAAATTAGGATGATGATCTCTCTCTTAGGGTGTGCTCCTAATACCTAAGAAGCCTACACTTTAGTTTGAGCCTGAAGTGTTCAAAAGTGTCCATCTTCAATTAAGTGTCTTTCAACTAATCCTCGAACATCTTTAGATCAAGCTTAGCTCGCTATCAGACTCCTAAGACCTAGGGGTAAACCTATAATTTTGGCAGAAGGGTTGTGAAATGTGCTTCAATCATAATTAAAACAATTAGGTTTAAATTTATTCAAAGCTTAAGGGACCTAGGTTTAAGTTTATTCAAAGCTTAAGGGACCTAAATGCAAGTCTACTGATCTTTCAATCCATGCTCCTAATCGTCATTTAAACTCTTACTTTCTTCCAACTCTCAACTATTCTTCCAATTACAATTTCATCTTTCTTATGCAAAAGGAATGGTGAATGGTTTGCTATCATATCCCCTCTTTAGGTTTTTATCATCTCAACAAACCAAATTTCATTTTTAATTACCTCTTCCTTTCTCTTTTCCTCATATTTTTCTTTAAGACCATGAATTATTTCCGAAAATAATTAAATCGAAAATTCTCATTTTTTAACTTAACCATTAGAAAAAAAGAAAACAAAACAAACGAAAAAGAGGTCGATCCCCTTTTTAAAACAAAGTCAAATCAGTAAAACCTGGAGCGAAATCGTAAGTGCATCGTCTTATAAGCGTTTAAACTCATTAAAAAAATAATCAAATCAATCTCAAACAAGGTTTAAAAGCCTCAAAATGTAACTTAAAACTTCACGAATAAAGTTTCAAAATGTGGAGAATAAAACTTTAAAAATGTGGCCCAAACAGTAAAGGATTTTAGCCAACATAAATCACCAACACAGAGTCCAAACTGAGACCACCAAATGAGCCAACACAATATAAAAATTTCAGTTAAATTCAGCCTAGCAGAAGCCGAAATTGAGCTCATCGAAGAAGCCAAAAACAGAGAAAATTTTCATATATAATCCCCACTTCTCATGGCCAAAACCGAGCCAAACAAAAGGGGCAAACCACAGATGCAGCTCAAGGACAAAACCGAGCCCAACATGAAGGCCAAACCGAACAGCGTAGAGGCTAAACCAACCCAC